GGGGATATCGATCTCCCAGGCAGATGTCCTTCTGCCTGCGTGGAAATCACATGCCCACAGGGAGGAGGCTCGGCTCTGCCCTTGGCATTGAATAGGGGCTTGCAAGATGCTGCAGAGACACCCGAGCAAGACCCTCAGCTCTGCTGCCCACACACTCAGACGGTGAGAGCTGGCCAGACACCTCCACACACACCCGTCCCCCCAGCTCCATAAATCCCGCTGTGCTGTGGGGGCCAGGAAATGATCTGTTCTCTATTCCAACACCATGGAGCCAAGAACTCCCAAAGTTCTTGCGTCAGAATCAACACTCTCTAATGCTGCCGGGAGCTCTGCCTGGACCCCACCTGGCAAGAGACCACAGTGAGCTTGGAAATCCACCTCCCTGTGGTTCACACTGAGAAGACTGGGATTTGAACTTCATCCTGCCACTCACCAGCAGAGGCGTCATTCCTACTCACCTCCACAGGATCCTGCATTCCCTGTTCTGACCACAGCCCCTGGGTGTTTGGGGCTCCTCCCCTCCCCCACCACCGGTGCCTGAGGTCCTTAGGCAGAGCTCTCCCTGCACCCCAGCCAGTCAGCACACCTGCGTCCTGCCCACCACCGGGGCTAGTTCTGGGGCAGCCCCTGATCTAAGACAGTCCCATCTGAGCAAGTCAGAACATTCTGCAGGAGCTACTCAAAGGAGCTACTCAAAGGAGCATGCCATTTCCTGTTGGACCCGGAGCTCAGCCAATGCCGAGATCCAACTCTTCACAGTTTAGCTGAGACCTTGCTGGCTTTAAGTCTGAAAGTCCCATGTCCGGGAAACCCCTCAATCCTAGGCAAACCAGATGGGTTGGTTGTTATAGTATGGAGTGCGAGAAAGACCACTTAAATACCAAATTGAGCCAAATTGTGAGTCTTTATTAGCTGGCCAGCGACTACCCCCTGCACTGCTAAGAGGCAGGTACAGGGAGCAGTCTCGAGCCAAAAAAGCAGGGAGGATTTATACCAGCCTAAGTTAGGGGCTAGTGACTTTATTCACTAGGGTTGGAATAGCATTACATCATGTTTTCTACAGCTGCAGAGTCCAGGACCCTCCTTGGACCACCCGATGACAATCTGTAAGCAAGCAGGTTTACAGAAGCAGAAATCATTAGCCCATGGCCCAAATCAAAATACATTATTTTCCAGATTCAGCAATCATAGTAAATTTTTAACTACACAATATATTACACAGATTGAAATGAATAAAACAATCAAAGGTTAACTAAGAATTATTGTCCATTGCTACAGGGAACAGCTTTACTATTTTAGATGAAGGGCAGGCTGAGTTTAACTCTTTGAGGTCCTTTACATTGGTCACCCTAAATGGTGGGAGGGCTGGAGCTGCTACAGCCAGGTTGTTACCACATGAAATCTGGCAATGAAACCAGCATGGAGGAAAAGGAGCTGAGGGGTGGAGAGAAACAGCCAGTTCCTGGTCACCTCTTCAAACCCATCGTTCTCTCTTTTGCTTGAAGCAGCTGAACTTGGATTCCCTGACACTTGAACAGAAAGTCTGCTCGCCAGTATATCAGTCACGTGATATTGCACGTGTCTCTTAACCTCTCTGAGCCTCAGTTCGTGCGTCTGGAAAATCGGAATAATATTTCCTGAAGATTAAACGAGAACAGTGTCAAGTTTCTATCTCAAGGCCTGGCATGTAGAAACTGTCCAGTGAATTTTGTTTCCCTCCTCTTTTTGAGCTAGAGCGCTCACAAACTCTAGAGAGCGAGGGCTAGTTCTGAGAACACCAGTCAGTTGAAGCAGAGAGGATGAGTCTTTCACAGCCCTGGGGGATTGTGCCCAAAGGTGATGACTGTGGCACATCACAGCAGAGCCAGGGTCTGGCCCAAAGCAAGAAAGCTCACTGGACCAATCTGCTTCACTGGACATCAGTCCAGCTTCCTCATGGGGTGCTGCTATTAATAAAGGAGCTCTTCTCCCCCACCCCGCATTCACCTCCCTCCACCAAAAGAGAATGTCTCCCCTGGAATGCATACTTGACTGCAGGCTTAAGGGACCCATTCTCGTGCAAACCACTTAATAATAAAATGTATCTGTCATGGACTGCATGTTTGTGTACCCCCCTGCCCAAATCCGTACCTTGAAACTCTAGCCTCAAAGGGGATGGTATTAGAAGGTGGGACTTTTGAGAGGTAATTAGGTCATGAGGATGGAGGCCTCATCATGTGAGACTATGTGCATGTGTGAGAGCTCTCTCTTTCCTTCTCCCCTCTCTCGCCACCTCCTCCTCCCCCACTCCCACCTCCACCACCATTGAGGTCCACAATGAGAAGATGGCCCTCCAAGGCCCAGGTGAAGGGCCCTCACCAGAACCCAAGCACTCTGGCACCCTGACCTCAGACTCCCAGCCTCCAGATTGTGAGAAGTAAATCTCCGTTGTTTAAGCCACCCAGTTTACGGAATTTGTTATACCTGCCAGGGCTCACTAAGAAGGTATTAACAACTAACTGGTAATCTGGTAATCCCAAGATTCACAAACTAACTTTAGACTTTGTTTTCCTCTTAGGAAAGTAAAATTCATTTTAAAAATGAAGCTTCCAGCTATTATTTGTAAATGCCTTTCCCAAAGCAAATAATACGAGAGGGAGGTAAAAAATGAAGAGACAATGTAATAACCCTGCACAAGCTGGATGGGGGTGGGGAGAAGGCAGGGGAAGGCTGGCCCCTTGTTGTCACCTGAGGGGCATGCGCCAGGGCCTGGCTGGTCTGCTCTCTCCTGCCTCAGTTTGGAGGCACAGCCAGGGGCTCACCAGGGCTCGGGGAGGTGGAACCCACCTCTCTGCTGTTCTGCTGATTTATTTGCTATGTCCGCAGCCTCCTCTATCACAGCCTGGTTTTACTCTAAGCTGACTTGAGATCATAAAAGGAATATTCTCTTTGACTGCCACATATTTGGGAGGAAGACTGGGACAGAGGGGCCAAACAATTCCCCCAGGACTGCTGGGCTTGAGTCCAGCTGCTTCAAAAACTCTTGGAGGAATGTACAGTACTGAACTGAAAAAAATGTTCCTCTCCCTAGACTATCGGTATAAGCTCTGTGTGTCCAGAGTCAGAAGAGGATGTTTATGACTTGTGATGAGCCAAAATGTGCCTTCAAGGCTCTTAAGGGGAGGAACCACGACTGATGTGCTCACCGTGTATCACAAGACTATGTGTCTGGCACATAACAAATGTGGGTAAATGTGAGTTTCACATGTGGAGTGCTTAAGGATCCATTTCATCACATTTCTCAAACCTACAGGTTCTGAGCCAACTGATAGGTAGACAAAGGGGTAAGAGCATGATCCAAGCACCAGCTTTGTCACCAGTAAAGCAGAATTCGAGGTCTTGGCTTACACCCGAAGCCAAATGAAACTCCCTTCTCCTCCTTGTCCTCCTTGTTGGCGAACCTTCTACAAAGAGAAGGACAAGAGGAGCCATTGGGCAGGTGGCCCTGAAGGGAAGAGCCTAAGAGCCTGAGCATGATGTGCTATGTGATCCCCTTGTGCCACCCCAGCACCCAGATGAATCGTACTTCATCCCAGGGGGAAGAAGAAGAAGAGCATCACCGAAGGAACTCTGCCCATTGCTTTGTCAACAGGTTCGATGACATCGGGCTTGGAGTTTAGAAAGCAGACCCACCTTATGGGTAAAATTGCATTCTCATCGGTACTGCATGTTTTTCTGAAAATACTCCCTAAAAAGGGCTCTCTAATGAACCCACCTTATCCCAAAAGTCCAAATGAAAGCAAAGGGTCTTACAGCAAACCTCTCATACCACTTTGCGTGCCTTTGTCACATTCTTTAATTTTCATGAGTTCAAAATAAACAAACGAAAACTCAATTTAAAAAATGTAAACATTAGCAGCCCTGTTCCAAACTACCTAAGAGCCAGCCCACCCCAGGCACTCGTAGGAGAGGCTGGTGACCTCAGTCGTGGAAACCTCTGCTGGGCCAGAGTCGGGGAAGCTAATGGTACTCAAGCCTCTGAGCCTCTCACCCACATGGGATCTGGGTTGGGGGAGTCCCTTAGCAATGTACTCACATGGTGGTAAGTTTTTGTAAAATGTGCAAAAGTGAGCTAATTTAACTCCAACTGGGTAAGACCACTGATTATTTCCACTCCAATGTTTCCTCTGTCACACTTCCCTTCATGATGGGTGGGTAGTACTAGAGTAGCCAGGGGAATTTGGGGTTCTGGCTAAGGAAAAATTGATTTAGGAAGACATTGGCTTGGGTTTAGCAATAATACATGTATGTAGTTTACAGTCACTTCTGCACATAGTTAAGTTATTGTTAACTGTTATAGAGTAGAAATAACTTTCAGAAGTATTATTTTTAATTGAAAGTTTCATTAATATAATTGTAGAGTCACAAGTTGTTGTAAGAAATAATACAAAGATTACTTATGCACTTTTTCCAGCTTCCCTAAAATGATACCTTTTTTAAAAACAACAGTCTAATACTCATAACCGGATATTAATTTTGATCCAATTCACTTATACTCAGATTTCCCAGTTTTACCTGTACTTGTGTGTCTGTGCATGTGCACACAGGTGTGTATTAAGTTCTATCAATTTTATCATCCATGTAGTTTCAGTCAACTCATTGAACAGTCAGAAACCATAAGGATCCCCATGTTACCCTTTATAACCACAGCAGCTTCCCTTTTCCCCTGTCCCCAAGCCTAGACCACCATTCATCTGTTCATCATCTCTAAAATTGTGTCATTTCAAAAACATTATATGAAATCAAGGCTGGTCACAGTGGCTCACACCTGTAATCTTAACAGTCTGGGATGCCAAGGCAGGGGGATCGCTTGAGCACAAGAGTTCAAGACCAGCCTGAGCAAGAGTGAGACCCCATCTCTACTAAGCATAGAAGAAAAAACATTATCCAGGCATGGTGGCGCATGCCTATAGTCCCAGCTACCTGGGAGGTGGAGACAGGAGGATTGCTTGAGCCCAGGAGTTTGAGGTTGCTATGAGCTAGGCTGATGCCACGGCGCTCACCTGCAAACAGAGAGAGACTTCGTTTCAAAAAATAAAATAAAATAAATGAAATCATATGGTATGTAATCTTTGGGGAGTCTTTTTCCAGCATAATTTCCATGACATCCATCCAAGTCATTGTGTAGAGCAATAGTTCATTCCTTTTCATTATTGAGTAGTGTTCCATGATAGGAATGCATCACAGTTTGTTTAGCCACTAACCTATTAAAGAACATCTGGGCTGATTCCAGCTGCTATAAACAATCATGTACTAGTTTTTGTGTGAACAGTTTTTGTTTCTCTGGGATACATATCCAAGCACGCAATTGCTGAGCTGTATGGTAGTCACATATTTCTTTTAAAAAAACAAAAACTGACAACTGTTTCCAGAGTGGCTATACCATTTACATTCCCACCAGCAATGTATGAACAATCCAGTTTCTCTGCTCCTCATCATCATTTGGTGTTCTCAATATTTTTTATAGCCACACTGATGGGCTTATAGTGATATCTCACTGTGGCCTCAATTTGCATCTTCCTAATAGCTAATGCTGTTGAACCTCTTTCTATGTGCTTAGTTCCCATCTGTATATCGTCTTCAGTGAAATGTCTTTTTATGTCTTTTGTTCATTTTTTATTGGTTGTTTTTTTTACTGTTCAGTTTTGAGTTATTTATATGTTCTTGATACTAATTCTTTGTCAGATATGTGGTTTGCAAACATACTCTCTCAGTCTATAATTTTTCATTTTATCCTCTTCACATGGAATTTCACAGAGCAAAAGTTTTCATTTTGATCAGTTACCCATTTATCAACTATTCCTTTCATGACTCATAGTTTTAGTATCAAGATTAGGAATATTTTGAGTGCCCATTCTGCCAGTTCACCCAGCAGCATGATATGAATGGGCAAGGCAAGAGGTTGTGGGACAACTTGAATGTGTCTCAAGCCACCAACACTTGAAATAAGTGGATGTGGAGAATAAGGAAGTTTAAAATGTATGATCCCGGAAGCTTATCCTTAGAAAATTCTCATAATCATCAGATCTGCAAAACTGTAGATAGAAGATGCAGTTTTCATTTATGTCTAGTTAAAATTAGTAAAAAAAAATTAGTAAAAAATTAATAAAATTAGTAAAAAAATAAATAAAAATAAATAAATAAAATTTGGTTAACTGTACAAGAAGGAAGATTTAATAATTATAATAATTATTTATTATTTCTATGGCTATTATAAAGTTTTTGCTGTGTCATGAGATCAAAGAAAATGCAACCAAAGAAAAGTATGTAGAAAGAAAAGTTTTATAGCCTTGTAAAGGACAATTAATTAATAAAAAGATATTGTTATGTTTCTGAATTTTTATGATGTTTGAACTATTTGTCTACTGTTTAAAATTTATAATTAGTTATGATTTCTTTATAATTAGTTATGATTTATAATTAATTATGATTTCTACATAGAATGATGTACACATCATTCTATGTCTACATTCAGATTTGTACCTAATATTATTCTCTTTTTAATAAAGTTGGGTCCCAAAATTCAATAAACTTCAGGTCCCACAAAAGATAAATCAGCCCCTGACTAGGTGTAAATCTTCTGATGGCCACACCATGAGGTGTCCTGTACAGTTCCAAGGGAGAAGCCATGTGACCAGACCACGGGGAGAGATGGCCAAGGGGTGCCCAGTAGGCTCAGAGGAGTAACTATCTACCAACTAGTATGGGAGGATCACAATGTTTTAACTGGTGTGGTCTTGCTGATGAGGTCTTGCTAAATATAATCCTTGACCCTTGTGTTTACGTAAGTGCTCTGTTGGGGTGGCAGAAACTGGGCAAGGAGCCAGAAGGCTTCAACATCAGGCAATTCTTGAGAAAAATAAAAAATTTGCCCCTTGAAGTGCTCAACAGAAACTTACAGGGGAAAAAAAAAACACCACACTATATTTGAAAGTCAGTGATCCAGGATAGGAACATTGTTCCTAGATAACAATAGGAACATTATAAATGACTAATAGAAATTAAACAAAAAGCTTTCAGCTACTATATCATTTTCACCAAAACTTTGTGTCCGGTATGCACAAAGTGGAGATGAAGTCCTGATTTCATGGGCTCTTTCGGTTGGCTGTCCATGCCCTAACACTCAAAGTCATTGGACAGGCAACAGAAAGGACCAAAGGTGAGGAATCAACTTAATTCAACCACCGATGTGAGCTGCAGTCAGACACTGGGGCAGGGGCTTTCTCCACTGACCTCACTTAAGCCACTGAGAATACAAAGCTCCTCAGGACAGCCACGGTTCTCACTTCTTTCCAGAAATGACCCACAGAATTTGATACTTGCACAGAACAGTTTGACGGCCACCAATCTAAAGGAAACAGCATTTAGCTAAAAGGCAAACATCACATGTTAATTACACCGAGGATACTGGATAGAACAATTTAACTTCTTGCTTCACTTTCCCCATCACCTAATTGTGATGCCTCTTTGAACTACTCTGAGGCCATCCTCTCCACCTTCTGGGAAGCTCTTGAGATGCCAAGTCAAGGTAGAATCTCAGTTCTGCCGTGCATTTGTTGTGTGACCTTGGGTAGCCTCTCTCCTCATGTGTGGCTTGATACTGACTTTTTGCCTAGCAATGTGGTTTTATGGCTTAAAGGAGAACATGTGCATAAAGCCTACGTAAAAACCCTCAAGCCTAGCAAATTCTCAATAAAAGTCACTGATGCCATTATAAATCAAATCTTGTACATTTTTAAGCACTAATAAAGAGGAAATGATGGTCAACATTGAGATTCTGACATGTAGGCTCTATAAAGTAATAGAGCCTTCCAGTTCTTTCTGTCAAATGTTTACTATCACAGGACAAGACTATTGTTGGGATTAGTATGCATGCTGGAATTTTCATTTCTAGTTTACTATTTACCTTCAAATTTTTCTCTGCACTAGAGAAAAGAAAATCTTTCACATCATTCCACTCATGTAGGAACAACTTCAGAGAATGAGTAATGAAATTTAAAAGAAAATAAATTACTTTAAAGAGCTCTCAAAAATACAAAGATATATTCACAAGTATGTATATGTTTTGCTAAAATATGAGTTAAAACATGACACTGATAAGGTTATGATACCCTTTATGGTATTTATGAAAAACAAATCTTATTAAGCAATTTAGAAGGGGAAAGTTTTCACTTCAAAATACTTCTGAGATTTTTAAAGCAATAATATAATCTAAGTGCTAATCATATTATGTTATTAATTTATTTATGAAAGGAGGCTTCCAAAATGTTATGTTTGTTACTTTTTATCTGTTTTAGTGTCAGAACATAAGAGTAATAAAGCTATCTTGGGGAAGTGGTTGTGGTATAGAGGAATGGGGCTTTGTCATCTAAGATACAGGTTCAAAACTAGATTCAACAACCCACTGGCTTTTTAAGTTCTTGGATTCTGTTTTCTCATTTGTAAAATTGAGATAACATCTTATTTCAGAGTTATCATAAGAAATTAAGGTATGTCAAGAACCTTAACATTTCCTTGTTTAAATAATGGTTTTAAAAATATTTCTAATTCATATTTTATTCAACCAGGTTTTTTTCATACCCATTCTGTCAATGAAAATTTTTATTTTATATAGCTAGCATATAACACATCATAGTGACCCAGACAATTTTTTCTATTAAAACCTTGAGAAAATATAAATTCATTTGAAAAATTATTCTATCGAGATATTTTGTGCCACAGTTAGCTACTTTGGTTTCTCTCTTGAAAAGTATGTTCCCAATTTGGTCTAAAACATCATTCCCCTGATACCTATAACACTGTAGGCCAACTTACATTTCTTATGGAAGCAAAATTTCTGCCAATGTCTCTCTGACAGTCTCGTCTACAGAAAGTCTGAAAAATTCAGGCCAGTATTGCTTCACAATATTTTTTTTCCATGCCACAATAGAAATCCAGTATGGTTTAAGGAAAGGTAATCAGATATATAAAAAGAAAATCATGGTCATAAAGACTTTACATTTTAAAAAACTTTGTTAGGCAGTTTCGAGGACTGGCTTATTCTGAGCACTTTGAGCCTTTACCAACGACACACTGAAAACAAACATGCAGCTGCCAGTTTCAAATCCTCACACAGTGATAAGACAATGGAATTTTTAAATAAACCAAATGGGATTTTTGGCCAAGCCTTTTTTCTGAGTCATGTGAAAATGAGTTTAACCCTATTGAGCAAGGTGGTTTGGGTTTTTCTTCACACTCTCGAGGGACTGAATGGGAACTGGGTTTTGACAACATGCCCAGCAGTTTTTTTAGAGTGTGGTGGCCCCAGCAGGCAAACGCTGGCACTCAGCAGCCTCGTTGGGATAATTCTGATACGTATGTCCCATGAGGGGATCCTTCCAGTCAAGGGTGGAGTCAAAGAAGTCAGCAGACCAAAGTCGAAGCCAGATGGAAAATCACAGACTCAACAATACAAATGTCCATTTTCTTAGGAATCAAAAAGGTGCCAGGGCACTAATAAAGCAGCTTTCTCACTTCCCCTGAGATGTGCAACAGCTTCTATTCTATTCTATTCTATTGTTCAAGGAAGCTCACCAGGAATGGCCTTTTACGAATAAATTTAGAAGCAAGTGCTTTTCGGCTATTCTGGTGGAAAAGTTTGAGAGTGTTGTTGGGCTTTGCAGTGACCTTAGATTCAAATCTTACTGGCAATCAAAATGTGTACTTCCCAATTAACCAATTTGAAATTATGAGTCTATTTCGGGTTTAAAGAATAAGTGGTCTATCAGGCAAGCAAGTGGTCCCAGACACCTGCCTTTTAGATCTAAAATTTTATATTCCATCTCTTTAGATTGGGTTAATAGTAAGAAAAGAAAACAACCAAATAAAAAACTGTCCAGAAGTAGGAAGGTGAAGTCTAGCTGGGTGGCCTGGGTTCAACACTAGAGCCCAGTACTGGGAACATCTCGTGACTGATGACATTATGGGACCCTTCCTAAACGAGTCACCATGGCAACCTGATCATGTCCTCAAGGCAGGGTCAGCTTAAGACCTTCAGTGGCCCTAAATCCTGAGAAGAGTATGTTTCCCATCCAATCACCATCCCTGCCTAAAATGTCCTTCAAAATAATATTTATACTTAACCATAAAATAAGGGTAAGAAAGTCAAAAGTAAAAGCTAGCTTTTCCCATAATGCCTATTTTGATACTTCTTTTGCAATATCACATCTTTGGAACAACTTTTTACAGTAATTTGAGTGCTCCATCTTAGTGCAGATTTGGAACTATGTTTCCCTCCCTTGAGGGACGGGCCCAAGGTTTGTGGACTCAAAGGTCTGCAGCCTTGGGTCCCTGGGCCTATCTTTGCTGGGAGAACCTAGAGCCAAAGGGACACACGGTGAACAGAGTCCTCTCACTTATGGTGTGTTTAACAACCAAAGTGCTTCCCGGGTCCCTTGGGCATGTACTAGGTCACTGCATATCCTCTTCTCAGCAACACCATGGAGGCAGAGAAGGCAATTAGAAGGCTGTAGCAATACTCCAGACAAAAGAAAATGTGAGCTAAAACTAGGGCAGTGGAGATGAAAAGAAAGCATTGGACAGAAAAATAGTGTGAAAATCAAGAGAAGTTTCTGGTGGATTCAGGTTGTGAGTGAGTGGTAAGTTTGGGTAAGGGAGAGAGGGCCTGTCACTTGGGTTCCCAGGATGATGACAATGCTACTGATCAAGATAGAAAGTATAAGAGGAGGAGGAGGAGACAGTGAAGGAGAGAGAGAGGTGACTGGGGTTTATGGCAAGGTGTCTCTCCATGCAGAGCTGGCTACCCATGGAGGGGGCCCCAATGTTGACCTAGAGCTTACGAGAGGACTGGGAATTGCCAGGTAGTTGAAGACAAGAACCCTGAGAGAACACCTGTAGCGTAAAAACCATCCAACGTAGTGGGAGCAATACCCCAAGAGTGACTACGAGAAACAAAGAGGAGAGGAGATCACAGTTTGGGTGGAGGACTGTACTCTGCACTCAGGAGCTGAACTGAGAGAAAATGGAGAATTTCTCCTCGGAGATGGAGAAGGAAGCAGAAAATACTGGCCGAGATAGATACACTGGAAGAGAAGGAAGAGTTAAAGTTAACATAAGGGAGCATTTACCTTCTCAGAAATTAAGAAATGATGTCCCTCCTGAACATGGTAGGACTCGAGGTAAATGAAAGGCTCAAAGAGAACAAAAAAATTAAGTGGTGTTCAAGGCAGAAAGGGGAAGAACAGAAACTGGGGTGATGAGAAGATAAGTCCTTCCCCCTCAAGCAGGATTTCCAGAAGGGGAAAAAAAGGGCAAAGATCAATGAAAAAATTGGGTAGAAAAAGAACCAATATCTTTGGATTTATCCCCCAATATTTTGAGTAAAGAACAGAACATAATTCTCATAAAGTGTGAATCTTCCAACTTCATTCTTCCTGCTATGTCAAATGTCTTAGTAGAGTGCTACTGTAAATCAAGACAGTCCTCTCCCTAAGAAGAATTCAAGTGCCGATTGCTAAGAGAATACACTTTTCACACCCAACCTCCCACACACACAACTGGCATGGTCACCCTGCTGCTACACTAAGACCTATCCTATCTCCATATCTCCCACACACATTCCAAGAATCTGGTCCACCATCTTGTCCATAAAACAACCCTGGCCAGATGTTCAGCAACAATGACATAAGAGTCTTGAAAGTTCTAACAAGACAGAAAGGGTTGATGTCCCCCTCCATGGAAGCCAGCATTGGCTAACTGCTGCACAGACCACCCTGATTGACAAGCCAGAGCTCACTCGCGTGCTGGGAGACCCTGTGGTTCAATGTTGTAGAGTGTTAGCCAATTGAAGACGCTGATTACAACTATTTGCATATTTCCAGCCATTGAAGTTATATTGGAAAAACATTTGTATGGTTCCTTTTTAAATTTTCTGAAATCAGTAACTATTATTTTGGAGCACAGAGGGTCATTGAATAGCATCTCCCTTTGATCATCCTGGCCAATCACCCCAGTTAAACTGGTTATTATTGTAGTCACTTACTTATCACTAGTGATAAGTTTAATTTGGAGAGTGCACGTAAACTTTGTTATTTATCTTATTTTCCAGAATCTCTTCTACAAAAAATGAAGGTATATATGACTTGTGTTTTGTTATTATCTGGTATTAAACGTTCTGAAATGGAAAAAATTGACTGTTTAATTTCTTAATTATTTCTTTCTTATTTTTTATTAATAATTGATATTGGATTTTGATGGCAACAATAGCTAAAGTCTAATCCTTGATAGAATTTTCTTTAAGTATTTTCTAGATACAGAAAACTTACTTCTAAAACAAAATAATGTTTAAATATAATTTAAATAAAGAGATT